GATGTCAAGCGAAGTACGATCAAATAGCATAGAAAGATAGAGCATTTTCCGCTCTATCATCCTATGTAAAAAGAATTTTTTATCAACCCTAAAATATGGTAAAAAAATGTCGTTGCCACTAGTTTTGGATACCCCTAAGTATAATTGTGAGAGACTAAGGAAAGCTTAGTTGTGAAGGTGATTATGTGCACCGTTTACGCCTCCCTTAAATATAGCGAGGAGATTGAAAGATACAAGACGTATGTCTTTTTTACAATTAAGCGAAAAGCGAGTTACAGACATAGCGATACAAGAATTTAAGATGTTACTAATCAATAACACCATCTATCAAACTTTTCTGTGATTAAACGAAATGTCTAATAAACAAAGATCAGTCAGTTGAATAAAGAAACGAAATGTATGGTGATATTGTTTTCTAAGATATTGTATGTGTTTTCATATTTTTTAGATGATGCTTTTTTGAATAAGTATTTCCATAATGTTTGTCTTCAATTTCAGAAATATCTATTATCAAATAATGAACTGGTCTTCTGAACAAGTTATCAACTGGTGCAAATCATTTATAGATGATGATTCTATCTTATCTCGAATAGCAGGTCAGTTTATTTTTGTTTAGTAGAAAAACCTTTTTTATGAATGGTTGAAACCATTTATCAGCCCTTAGCTTGTATCTAACACCTAATCATGTTTCTTATAGATCCATAGCTAATATAATATAGTTAGAAGCGTTTGTTTTTTTATTTTTAAACGATAACTCCTTTCGTGTTTCTCATTTATGTATATGAAAGAAAAGAATGGAATAGTGATTGTTGTTTTTATTTCATTGGTTTATAAATAACTTGTTGTTTTGCGTAGAAAATAATCATAAAGTAAAAGTAAACAACTATCGTATAAGAATATTATCTACTCATTTTGTTTACATACATTGAACAAGATTTTCTAAATTTATCTTGTACCTTTCACATCAATATCTCATGTCATCGTTTATTTGTCCACTTTGCTCAACAGAGCGAGATTTTGACTGTTTCGCTAAAATGTTTCGTCATGTAACTGTTTACCATCAGAATGACCCCAACTTCAGTATTACTTGTGATTTACATAAAACATGCGGTGTTTTGTACCGAACATTCGCGGCTTACAAGTCTCATATTTATCGTCGACATTCTGCTGAACTTTATTCCACGAAGAAAAACAACAATAATAATAACACCAACATTATTCTCATCAATAATCAACAACACGAAAATATTGGTTCAAGTGTTGGTTTAGATTTAATAAATCCTGATGGTAATACTAATGAAAATGACAATTCAAATTTTCTTTATGATGAACTTGAATCAGTATTCGAAATGGATGAATATCAAACAACATCATTAGCTTTTACATCACACTTCAAGTCGATTGATAATGATGAAAATGATGCTGGATCTGTTCTTGATATCAAAAGAAGTTATATTTCATTCATCTTAAATTTACGTGAACAACTGCTTCTAACTATATTATATTAGCTATGGATCTATAAGAAACATGATTAGGTGTTAGATACAAGCTAAGGGCTGATAAATGGTTTCAACCATTCATAAAAAAGGATTTTCTACTAAACAAAAATAAACTGACCTGCTATTCGAG